AACAACCTCTTCAAATAAATAATTATGTTTATGCCTAATATTATTTTTTGGAATGTTAGAGGTTTTCATAATTTTGATAGGGTTATTGCTTATAAAATCTGATCTCTAAATTTAATATTGAGCTTTTTGGTATTCTTGAAGCTAAGGTGAAATTGGATCAAACTTTGGATCCTTGGTTTTCGGCTAAGCATAAATTGGTCAATGTTGAAGGGGATTGTCACAATTTTTATAGCTCTCTGCCTGGCAGAATTTGGATCAAATGGGATTCTTCTCGCATTAATTTTAATTGTATTGTTTCTTCTAATCAATTTATTCATGGTTTTATTATGGTAAATTCTTCTTGTAAGGTATTTATTACTGTGATTTATGCGGCTAATACTGTTGTTGATCGTATTTCTCTTTGGTAGATCTTTTAAATATTACAAATAATATTTCTTCTCCTTAGGGTGATTCTAGGAGATTTTAATAGTTATAGATTTGCTAATGAGAAATCGGGTGGATATTTAGTTAATATTGCTAAAGTGGAGTATTTCAATAATTTTATTTTCAATGCTGGTATAAAAGATCTTTCTTCGGTTGGTCATTTTTTTTACTTGGTTTAACCAAAAAATAGATTCTCCGATTCATATTAAATTAGACCGTATTTTAATTAATGACAATTGGTTAAATGCTTTTCTAGATTCTTTTTATCATGTGGAGAACCTTATGTGTTATGATCATTCTCCTCTTATTATTTGTAATTATTGTATTAGGCCCCTCAATAAAAGATTTCTTTTTAAGAATTATTGGTGTAACAAAAATGAATTTTGGAATATTCTTATTGAAGCTTTTGTTGTTTCTCCTATTGGTAATCCGACGAAGGCTTTTTATGGGAAATTGTGGCTTCTTAAGAATATGATTAAAAATCAAGTTTGGGTTTCTTCTCAAGATCTCAAGTCTAATATTGATCTTCTTCAAAAGCAGCAAGAAGATTTTATTTCTAAAATCCAATCTAATCCTTTAGACTTGGATCTCAATTTGGCTCTTAAGAATGTTAATGGTTTACTTAGTGTTAATTTGTCTTGATGGTCCTCTTGGATACAGCAAGGAGCTAAAGCTTTATGGTTATCAAAAGGGGAAGATGACTTGGGTTTTCTTTATTCTAAAATTCGGCGTATACATAATATGAATAACATCAAGGCTATTTATTCTTCTAAGGGGGTTATTTTGGATCAGAATGAGATTGTAGAGGCCTTTATTAATCATTTTAAGGAACTTTTCAATATTACTAAGTCATTTTTCTGTTCTTCTTTTTCTATACATGTTGGTAATAAAATTCCGGATGGTTATTTAGCCTCTTTAATTGCTCCGGTTACTATAGAAGAGATTTAAAAAGTAGTTTTTTCTGGATTGTCTTCTTCTACTCTAGGTCTGGATGGCTTTACTTTTGATCTTCTTAAGAAGAGTTGGGATATTTTGGGGCCTAATTTTTGCAATGTAGTTTTGAATTTTTTCAAGACTGGTTACTTATCTAAAGCTACTAAAGCAATGGCTATTACTCTGATCCCAAAAAATAGTAATGCATCTCAAATTTTTTATTTTCGGCCTATTTCACTTTGTAATGTTTTTTATAAAACTATTGCTAAAATTCTTTCTTTAAGAATGAAGGATGTTATACCCTTGATTATTCATTATAGTCAATCTAGTTTCATTAAGAAAAGGATCTCTACTGATACCATTAAGAATTATTGAGAGGTTTTAACTTTCAGAATAAAGAGAAATTCTTCTCCTCCAAATTGGATATTCATAAAGCTTTTGATTAAGTTTCTAGGGATTTTCTTTATAATAGGATGGTTCATAAAGGTTTTCCTCCTATTTTTATTTCTTAGGTTAAAGAGTGCATTGATGATATTCATTTTTTTATTATCCTTAATGGTGCTCTTAATGGTTTCTTTAGTTCTTCCTTTGGTATTCGACAAGGATGTCCTCTTTCCCCGTATATTTTTTGTATTGTTATGGATGCTTTTTCTAATATTCCATTTCTCATTTATTATATGCAGATGATGCTCTAGTTTTTGGTAAAGCTTATATTAGGAATGCTATTAAGTTAAATGAGATTTTGGAATATTTCTGTAAAGTATATGGGCTTCAGATCTATCAAGGTAAAAGTTTCATTATTTTTTCTAAAAATTGTGTCTTGGCACAAAATATTAGTAATATGCTAGGTATCCCTATTTCTTAAAATTCTTTGAAATATTTAGGTATTCTAATTTCTTTTAAAAGGCTTTTAATATCTGACTTTCAACCATTGATGAATAAAATTATGAATATGCTTGCCGGTTGGAAAGCTAGAATTTTATCTTTTGCTAGGAGAGTTCAATATATTAATTTTACTATTTCCAATATTATTTCTTATTGGATTAGAGGTCTTTCTTTATCTAAAGCCTGTTTTAGTTTTTTTAAAAAAGCTTGTTCTAATTTTCTTATTTATGGTGAAATTAATGTTAGAAGGATTCATATGATTGTTTGGAAGGATGTTTGTAAGCCTAAGAAAGTGGGTGGGCTTGGGATTTCTAATCTGACCGCTTTAAGGTTTGCTTTAAACTGTTTTCTTATTTGGAGGATTGTTAATAATATGAGCCTGCTTACAGTTTGGGTTAAATTTAAATATATCACTTGTCGGAAGCCTTACTCTCATAAAGATTCTAAATCTTGGAAAGAATTGTGTGGTATTGCTTGAGATATTAAAGATAATATCTCCTTTAATTTGGTAGAATCAAGTAAGTTATCTCTTTTTTGGGATCCTTGGATTAAAGGGAAGGCGCTGTAGGATCTTCTTTTTTCTTATGAGGCTTCTATTTTACATAACAAGAAGGCGTGTGATTGGATTGATAATGGTATCTGGGTTATTCCCAGTTATATTCCCGTTAATATTGCTCAGGAGATTTTGAAAATTCCGATTCTTAATCAGGTTTCTTCTTCGATTTCTTGGGACAAGGTTAACTTTCCTATTTTTAAGAATTTATTATTATTATTTTTATTAATATTAATATGGTTGATTGGTTTAATTATGTTTGGCACAAAAATTATGATTTAAGATTTTCTTTTTTTTTGCTTGGAAGGCTATGTTGAATGGGTTAAAAATGACAGATCTTTTGATTAAGAGGAACGTTATTGTGCCTAATAACTATATTCTTTGTAATAGTGGGACTGAAAGTCATAGACATTTATTTTTTGAATGTGATTTTTCCTTTCAGATTATTTCTAAGTTTGAGTCATCACATAAATCCGCTAACTTATTACAATTTCTATCCACACAATTGAAGATGACATTATTGAATTCCTCAAAAATATGAATGTTTGCATACCTTGTTTTGCCATTCTTCTTGACTTCCTTCAAGAGCTTGATGATATTGATATTATCTCCCTCTATGATGATTCCTTTGTATTTAAACATCCAATCCTTTAGCATTTCCTTTATAGATTGAATTGCCAATAGCTCCAAAGCCGAAATGTCCCAATGAGTATATGGTTTTCCAAATGCTAGAAGGAATCTACCTTTATGGTCTCGAAACACTCCTCCAATACCGGCTTTGTATGAAGGTAGCAAAGAAGCATCAACATTGACTTTGAGCCAATCGGGTGGAGGGGGATGCCAATGATGATTAGACAACCTAATAGGTTGGTTGACATCCCATATACCCGAGAAATTATGATTCTCAAGGTTAACGAATGAAGCAAAACCGATTGCTTTTGAAGCAATACTCAGATTGCTATCCTCCTTCCCATTATGAATGTAGCTATTCCTTGATTTCCAAGTGAAATAAACCACTGAGAAATAGAGATTAATCATGAAAGGAGATTGAGAAGATAAATGAACACAGCAGCCTTGTAAAGAATGGAATTCGTCAAAACCAAATCCCCATTCCTTAATATATTTCAGAACTTCCTGCAGTTTGATACAATTCGCTACAATGTGATCTAAATCTTCTTTTGCATTGCAGCTTCTTGGGCAATTGTTTTCCCTGATTAACTTCCTGTGTTCAAGAAAGTCACAAGTGGGAATGGCATTGTTGAATATTCTCCACCAAAGGATTCTAAATCTAGTAACCATTGAGGTGGCCAGTTTATTAAAAAATATGATTATTTTCCCTTTTGCTGAGTCCGAAGTCTTCTGGCCCCTTATTTTGAGGTTATTTCTTCCTATATTTTCGGTTGGGAGGCTATTGATTGCAAGAGTTTCTGTGTTCCTGCTTACGGATTCTAAATCTAGTAACCATTGAGGTGGCCAGTTTATTAAAAAATATGATTATTTTCCCTTTTGCTGAGTCCGAAGTCTTCTGGCCCCTTATTTTGAGGTTATTTCTTCCTATATTTTCGGTTGGGAGGCTATTGATTGCAAGAGTTTCTGTGTTCCTGCTTACTCGATTTGGTGTTTCAGATTCTGGAATGTTGGTTATATGGACTGTTTTGGATGGTGTTGTAGTTCTCTTGATTTTTTAGGGCTTGTTTTAGAAGGATCTTCTACAATTCTGATTCTGGGAAGTTTTGGGATTGAATGGCTGGAGTGGATTTTGCTTTTCTTTTCTCCTCTGATACGGTTGGTTGTTTTTTATGTGCAGGAGGATTGGAGTTGTTTTGGTCGGATGGAAGACCTGCTTGCTGTTTAAGGATTTTGCTGTTCTTTGGAGATAGCTTGGTTCTTTTGGAGAGCCTCCTTAAGTTTTTTGGAGTTCATGTTTTGGAGTTATTCATCTGCTTTTAGTTCGGTTGGCAGATTTTTTTTTTAATAGTTTATCTGAGATCACTTGTTGTTGCTGATCATAGGTTGTTATTTGTTGGGGTTTTTTCTTTCTTGTGGGTTTTTTTTTTCTTTTGTTCTTATAGAACTTTGTTATTTGGTGTCTCCTGCTTCTAGGAGATTTTAGGTTTAGTTTGCTATTTTCTTTATTTTCTTCTTTTCATCATTATAGCATTTCTCTTTGTGAAATAAAATTGGGCATGTATGCCCCTATTTTTCTAAAAAAAAAAAAAAAAAAATTTGGCGGCTATGAGGCGGCCACCAGTGCCATTCACTGCTTCTTTCATGCGTTGAGATATAGTTCCGACAAGGTGCACACTTGCTTCATGCTTCATCGATAGAGAAGAGCGAAAGACTGACTTTAAATAAAAAAAGCACAGACAATGCTCATTAAAGCGGTAGCACAGGCCTCGGCGGTGGCTGGTTGGCCTATACATCTCACCAATCTTGGTTCAGGGATTTGCCTGCCGCTGCAAGCCACAAAATGCTCTTTCAGTCGAATCCTTCCGGCTCCGTTAAACTTCCAATCACGCCGTTTGAGGCTACTGTTCGTGCCCAGAGCCGCGGATTCTACGCCACCGGCGTCTGCCTCCCCTTCTTCCTCAGGAAAAACCATCGTTTCAGAGGAAGGCTTTACTTTATCCAAGGTTTTACCTATCCTTACAACCGTGACCTTTTATCCATAACCTCATAAATTGCTTCTGTTTATTCAAAAAGCTTGAGATTCTTCAGTTTTTACCTAAGGAGCTGCTTGATAGCAGCATTATATAAAGATTTAAGTGATATTTAACTTTTTCCCTCCCTTTCACCCAGCAAATCTCGGATTTATCAAATCCCTCGGTTTGGCGAATTTAACGGAGTTAGGAGAGGAGAAGCTCTCACCTCTGGATTATATTTTTATTTGTTTCTTTTTTTATACTTGTATATATAAAATTTCAATTTCTATTGCAGAAATGCTTGAGTCTTCTTTTCTCCTTTGTATTTATATATGTTTTTCAAAACAATTTAGTCAGTCTGATTTAAAATATGAAATACCATCCCGTTTTGATTTGAAAAGCGAAGAAGGGTCATCATGTATGTCTTCTTTGTTAATAAAATGGCTAACTTTGTTCCAGGATATTGAATGACGGAGTATAATGCCTTTGTAGAATTCCAGTGCCCTACTTTGGATGGCAATGTTTTGACCTGTATTCAATTTCTCCAATGAGATATTGGATCAAGCATAAGTTTGAGTTGGTTAACCATGTTTGAAGTCCAAAAGGAATACTTTAAAATGTCCATAAGATTAATTATGGATTGCCAACGTGTCATCATAACTCTGCAAAATGGCTCCCAAGGAACCATTCCAAAAGGCACCATTTTTTATGAGCTGCACCAACACACAAATCTACTTGCATGATCACACGGGTTGACATGCTACCCCACATTGCGACATGCCTCAAGGCCCACAAAAAAGAGGCAAAAAATAATTGAATTTCTTAAAGGGAATATTAATCTCACATTACCCATTTGCTGAAGAGGCCCCTACCTACTCCTATAAGATAGGAGGGAAGGGAGAGTGAAGAATGCTTTTGGTGGGAGGAAGGATATCTTGTGAGGGGGGTAAGGCATCACCAAAATCATGCTATTTGTGCCTCTTAGTGAGATCTCCACCAAAATTGGGATTGTCTGTCTTTTTTATTGCTCATTGGCACCTTAATGTATCGATAGCCAACTTATGGGGTATAAATTATGCTCACTTGCAGAGCTAATGCTAATAGCACCACCCAAGGAAGAGAGGCATAAAGTAGAGAAAACTAAGAGGAAGATTTTGTTAGGTATGCTTAAGGGTCGGTATGATCAAAATTATTGGATGCTGCACCAAGAGAAGAGGCCTAAGCTAGAGGACACCAAGAAGAATCTAATTAACACTAAGGATGATAAACTAGGGATAGACACCTCACCCGTCCCATGTTCTCATACCTTGAGTTAGATAAAAATGTTTCTAAATTCAAGGTTGATATATAATTCATTTTAAAGTTTCTCATCATTGGGCAATACATAGATATCATTACCTGTGATGTAGTTCTTTTAGATGTGTGTCATATAATCCCAAGGAATCTATATTTATGGGAAAGAGAGATTTATTGAGGGAGGAATAGAAGCATGTACTTTGCTAAAATAGGAAAAAGGTATGTAGTGCATATGTCTATTCTATAGGTGAAGGATTTGAAGGCAACATGGCAAGCCTAGACAATTGTGACTTTTTGCCACAACTTCAAGGCCCTCATATCCCTATTGAACAACATCAACCATCTAAAATCCAATTAAGTCAAAAGGAGGGTCAACTACTACATGGAGGGTTTGAATTGGTCAAAATAACTCCAACTAAATTATGAGAGAAAAATATGATTACATAAATTATGGAGGACTAAGATTCCTTTTCTTGAAATCACTTAAATAATCCTAACAAATCTCCTTTTGGTTGATCACTAAAGGAGGAGGCATATTTCAATTCAATTTTTTATGAATTTTGCTTAAATTTATCTCCAAGTTTTGTAATTTTTTGAATAAGTTGAATAATTCTATTTAATATATATATATATATATATATATATGGGGCCTAAGACAACCTAACTTACTCAATTACAGATATATTAAGTCTAAGCAAGAACATATAAGACTAGGGGGTGTGGTGGAGTATGAGGTTAATGACACAAGCATGGGTAGGGAAGCCAAGTTTCCATAAATTTCAGGTAAAGAAAAGGATAAGGCTGAACTTGAAGTAGGATAATTTTATGATATTTTGATCTACTCTATCTTTTTGATGTATATTTGTGTTATGAGATAAATGTTTTGACATGTATATTTATTATGATTATAATAAAATCTTTTTTTTTTAAAGAAATATAATAAAATCTTTTGATGATATGTAAAAATATCCTAATTTGTTTTAGCATCTCTGTAATTTAATAATGAAAAATTTATTTTTAGAAACGCTTCTGCTCTAGTGAATTATGGATAAATTTATTTATTTTTTTAATTTAGATTTTTTGTATACAAAATGAATGGTGGATTTTATTTCTATTCGAGTCGTGTCTAAATTGGTCATCGTGGGGTGTTAAAAAAACTACTTAGTGTAGAAGCACTTAAATGGAAATATGGAAACTAGCAAAGATGGATTGTTCATAAAGGTGGACTTCAACTTATCCTGATTTTGCCGCTAGTTACCTTAACTCCATCTCAGGTTAGGTTATCCATAGCTTTCATTTCTTGCATTATTTTATAGGAATAAAACATCTGAGGTGGTTAATAAAATAAGAGTTTGAACTATCTCACCCTCATTACATTTTATTTTCGTATTTTTGCTCAATAATAATTGCAGTGTTATTATCATTCACTTTAGAACTATCTATGTAATCATATTGTTTGAATTCATTGCTTGATTATACTCATCCTACATTAATTTATAGTTATCTTACATTATATTTTGTATCAGAGAAAGCATGTTTGCTCAAGAACATAATTATGTATGTTAAATTGTGTTTCTTGTATTAGGTTATATTGTTAGGTTTATTTTTTATTAGCATTACTTTGCTATCCTATTTTCAAAATTAAGTGAAAACCTCCAAATCACCAATTCATTATGTCATTTACTTGTTCATATAGTTGTGTTTCAGTTTTATCGTAGTTGCATTTCATAAAAAAGGCTTGCATCAAAAGTCTGTATCTTCTACATTTTATAATAACTCTCAGTATATTGGTTAAAACTTTATCATTTTCGATCCAAATTCTATTTATGGATACTTAATTTATATTAGTTAGAAGGGTTCTATAACTTCGTAGAAGAGCATGTTTTAAAATTTATCCATCTAGGCCTTTAAAAATATCATACCTCGAGAGTAAACAATAAAGCCTTTTATTAAAATAATATCTTGTAACTCGTAGTGGACATAGTTATCAATGCCAAACTCACTCTTATGTTACAACGAACCTATTATGAAATTTTAATGTAGATTTGAGGCGTTAGAGCATATGGTAGGTAGTACAATTCTAACTATATTAAAATCTGAACCAATTCTTAAATAATAACCTAAGGAATGCGATGACTACTCTATTGACCCCATTTATCTTTCTTCTCCTCCTCCGCCGCATCCCCCTGCTATACTGTTGACCTGTATGAAATTAAAAAAAAAAGTACATGCCCGCACGTCGTCGCCATTTCGTTCGCACGCCGACATCCCATCTCCCACGATCTACTCGCAACATCAAAAGGGCGAAAGGAGGGGTTCGGCTGCTAGGATCCTCGTAGAAGCTTTCTCACTCCCGCTCTCACTCTCTCCTTCTCCGGTCCTACGGTGCTGTGCGACTTCGTTCCTTCGACGACACTCGGATTGGAAGCTACACACTTTGATCGGAGGCCACAACCGGAGCTAGCTCGCTGTGAAGATAACTTTCTATCTTCCGTCGCTCCTTCGGCTTGCTCCCCGACGGCTTTCCCTCCTGCAGTCCTTCATCGCCGGTCGACTTCGCTCATCCGACGACTTTGCCTTCCAGTAAGATCGGAAGTTACTACATTTTGATCGGAACAACAACGGGAGCTCGCCGACAGTGAAGTTGGACCGGAAGTTACACCATTTTGATCGGAACAACAACGGGAGCTCGCCGACATTGAGGGTAACTTTCTACCCTTCGCGTGCTTCTTCGGCCTATCCTGGCGGAACCTGAGAGAGAGAGAGAGAGGGTTATTTTTATTATTATTATTATTATTATTATTATTATTATTTTATAATTATATTAATTAATTAT